TCAAAACTTACTTATTGTTCTTTTACTAACCACATGCTAGCATCATATTTTCTTGCTCTGCTTTGAATAACTAAAGTGAAGGATAAGGTTATTCTAACTTCCCTCACCATCCGGCCCTGTTCTACGGTCGCATACTATCCCTTTTTTTTTCTTCTAAACTATGTGCATGGATCACACTTAGGGAATTCATCTGCCTTAAATGAAATTGGAATATCTAACCCCAAACTTTCTATACAATACTAAATCATATCATACTATAAACATCCCGGGTAATCACTTAGTCACATAACCTAAGGGGAAACTGCCATATCTTTTATCTTACATCAATAGCTGCTTCTTATAGTAGCTTACTAACGTGGTACTTCTAGTTCTGATTTGAATAAATATGAACAATTTAAAATCGTTCCCTGAAATTCACTATTGGCTGCTCTTGGTTCTCCTTTCATATATCATATCTTTGGTAATAACAAACGTTTCTGACTCCTAGGTATTTTACCCTTAGGCTCTTTTCTGTCCAAAACTATAGTGACCAATGTTAGGGTCTGACATCTGAACTATCATCATCCAACTTATGGCTCCATTTCCAAGAATTAAATGAAGTTGTTCTAGGAGGTAAAACACATACGAGTACACTACCATGTACAAACTTATCCTTCAAAGTATACCATCATCTGATAAATCACTTCTTGCACCATCCGGTGAGTCTTGGTCTTAATCCAGACCTAAAATATGTGAATATTTCGCTACAATCACTGTTACTTGCATTTTCTTTTAGCACCCATAGGCATTACTGTATACTCACCAGTCACCAGAATTTTGATACACTGAGAATTGGAGATCTGGCAACTGAATAACTGATAACTAGTATCCTGAATAACCATAAACTTGCTAACTGAAAGATTGTATAACTGGTAACTGAGATTAACTGATAACCATAAGACATGATAATTGCTTTTGTACTTTCTGATAAGGTTATGCTCTGATCTGTACTACTGTCCATTGCATCCCACTTTTAACATCCTCTCAAGTCTCATATTTACCAACCTGTACTCCATAATTATACCCCAATGGGAAATTATCCTCTCTAGGACCTTAGGTTTCTCCTGCGCATCGCTTGGGTATCCAATACGTTTGGAATTCGATAGGAGGAGAAGGTTAACTATTGCTCTAAGCTTCGTGGCACGATCTAGAGTAGAAAGAAATAAGACAATCCTGGATGTCTTGGTAGTTAACCGTTTATATGAGTGGCCGGCACACACATATAAAGGAAACTCCACTGGACACGGCTTCATAGACTCCCTAGGAAACTTGAACCTAGTGCTCTGATACCAAGCTTTGTCACGCCCCGAAACTGAGCCTGGACGTAACACGGCACTCGGTGCATGACTACATCTGACCGAGCAAACCAACTAGCTGGCTGAATCAACATGTGGTATCATAACATACTAAATGCGGAAGATAAACTAACACATGCTGATATACTGAAAGTCTGGATGGTATAAATCAAAGTGCGGAAATACTAATACAATTCTGAAACATATTTGTAGCCAACATAGCTTAATAAGAAAAGCCTGCGACTCTGTCTAACTGTTCTCTAGTCTATGAAGCCTCTAGTGAAGTACTGAAAGCACTGACTATCTGAAAATACTGAAGACTGTAAGGTAATGATAATGCCCGGAAAGAACTGGGGATCACCAAATAGCTGGTACGAGAATCCTAGCACTCTGAATCATCAACCTGTAAATCATTACCTGCATCGTGAGATGCAGGCCCCGGGAAAAAGGGACGTCAGTACATTTGAATTGCACTGGTGTGTAATGCAACTGAAAGAAAGAATTATAAAGGCTGAAACTGAAATTGGGCTGATAACTGAGAATTGATAATTGATACTGAAATGATAACTATTGAAATAGAAACCGAAACGATAACTGATAACTAAAATGATAACTGATAACTGATAACTGAAATAATAACTAATAACTGAACCGATAACTGATAATTGATACCTAAAATGATAACTGATAACTGATAACTGAACTGATAACTGGTAACTGAAATGATAACTAATAACTGAACTGAACTGATAACCGGTAACTGAAATGATAACTAATAACTGAACTGAACAAAGGAAGTAAGGATATGAATACTCCCTCTTCTGAATGATGAACAACCTGTTTATCTGAATAATAAACTACGACCTCAGGCCCAATATATATATGTGCACAATTGCGGTCTCGGGCCCAAGTATACGTATACATAACTACGACCTCAGGTCCTAAATGCATAAAGCATAAACTGCGACCTCAGGCCCAAAGATGCATAAGCATAAACTGCGGCCTCAGGCCCAAATACATATGTTCAACATTCAGGAACTGAGAATCAAACTGCAATACATGATAGTGAAATACTGAATCATACTGAGTTACGTGATACTGGAATACTGGATCACAGTGAGTTACATAATACTGGAATACTGAATAGGACTAGACTAAGACATGTATTCTTGAACTGATTATGAACACTGAAGCTTCAACTATTTATGGTATACTGAGTAATCTATACTAAGACTCGGGGGCATCAAACCCAAGTCTATATTGAATACGCACTAAGCTCACAACATTCAGAATGAAAGTGGTGAACGAGTTATGAAGCTAGAGAATAGAAGTTCTGCAACTATTCAAGGGACTAGGCTTAACTATATTTCTGAGGCAATTAGTAATGTGGTAAAAGAAACGTAGTGTGGGGAGAATCATTAACATTCCCAAACATAGAGAGTTAGCCTCACATACCTTAACTTCCTGCTCTTGAGCGTAATACAACATTCGCCAACCCTTTTAACTTTAATCTATATCAATACAAGTCAAAGGGATTCCATATTAGCAATAATTCTCATGTTTTAGTCGCTTAAGCATTTTCTCAAACACTTGGTGATATAAAGTTTCATAGTCCTTATTAATGGTGTCTCTACACCCAATAACCCTTTCTCTTGTTCCTAGATAAATTTTAAAGTCTCAAATGGTTATAATCAACATTATTCTTTATCACCCATAAAGTAAACAACACCCTTAACCAATAATCAACAATCAACACCCCAAACCTATAATCGTTCATGTTTTTCTATCAAACCCATCAACTCATATCTCATGAACTAGGGTTTAAAATCATTAAACCAATGCTAGAATCAATTAAAGGGTGAAGACATTACCTTTTTGAAGTTCAAACCCTTTGAATTCGAGTTCTAGGCTTCCTTCTCTCAACAATGATGTCCCAATCGAATATCTAATGATATGGAGGTTTTACCCATGTTAATAAGATGTTGAGAAATTGAAATTAACTTAGAATTACCATTAAAACTTACCTTGGGTGGTGGAAGGACCCTTAAGGAGTTAGGTTTTTGAGAGTTCCCCTTTCTAAAGCAAGTTTTTATGTTTTGGGGCTGTGGGGGACGAAATATGGCTTTAAAACGATCCCCCACGAGCGAGCCCGCACTCCTGGAGACCTGACCGCGCTACTGACCGCGCAAAACGGCAGTAACACTGCCTCAAAAGAAGCGGGGTCGCGCTATGGGCGCGCTACCGGGCGCGCATATCACATACTGTTCTCTAAAACGCGCATAACTTTTTGTACAGAGATCCGTTCGGGCTCCATAATATATCGTTGGAGAGCTATTTCAAAGGCCTACAACTTTCATGCTTTGAGTTTCCAAATTCCTTACACATTTTCACTAAACTCTGCTGAAGACGGACCTTCTGCAAACTTAGTCGATTTTGTCAAATCTTATACACCTCACTCTCCGTATTGATTCCAAAACAACTATTTTTACGCATACTCATCCCGCTAGGACTTCATATGTCTAAAATATCAAATTATTACCCATTTAATATGTCCACACCTAGTCCGAATGTACGAGATGTTACAAAAAGTGAACGGTCGAGATTCAAAACCTTAGTTACAATCCAAGGGTTGAGATTAGACTTCAACATATTAAATAAAATCGTTGAAGAACTTTCAGAAGCAGTTATAATTCTGGTAAACTCCTAACTACTTCTCATTCTCTCTTCTCACTTCTCATTTCTCTCCCTCTTCCTCACTCCTCTTCTTCCTTCTCTAATTTCAGGTAACCGCCATTGGAGCAGCTGATTAGAGCTCATTAGTTTAACTACTATATTACATTCTTCTGTACAATTGAGTGTAATTTGGATTCTTCTATCAATAATACACACATTTGCTGCTTCTATAATTTCCTAATCTAGTATATTACAGTCAAATTGGCTAGTTGTTGTGTATTCATTCAATGTCAAAAATATTATAGGGTACAGTGCAAGAAGGAACTCACTATGCCACAAGGAGAGACAATAGAATGAAGAAAGGACTAATCAAACCCAATTCCATCAAGGCAACAACCCGGAAGTTTTAACACGCGTCCCTTTTTTGCAGAAGAGAATTAAAAAAGAGAAATAAAACTTCTTACCATATAGAAAAAGAAAATTATGGAGTTTAGAAGCCTTCTAAATGGCCAAGCCTATCGAAAATTGGTCAGCCAAAACTAAACACTCTCTTTGGGCGTTGGCTACACGGAACAAATAATAACTGAAATTTTTAGAACTTGCCAAAAATTAGTAATGGAAAAATATGAACTTTTACTTTTTGGGACGAATCAAGTCTATCGAAAGTCCGATTAACTTCTGTTTACTAATCCTCGAGTATAGATAGCGTCAATAATGAGAATATGCAATCTATCACAAGAAAGTGATGTGTGCATAGAGTTATTCTAAGAGAAAATCTTACCAGTCACAAACTATACCAGTATCGTCCCTTATATCCAACACCACCAAAATTATCCCTCATATCCCGATCCATTAAATGAATGACTTCACCACGAGCTTCTATGCCTTGGCCAAAAGTTTTGGCACGAAATTACAAATGTCTCTCGTCCTAAAAAAAATTGGGCTTGTGACTACCATCCGATGCATATTTGGAGAACTTTTAGAAAAAAATCATGAAAGAATGTCAACAAGAAATATTTGAGCCACTTGCAGAACATTATACGTTGGTACCAACAAAAAAAGAAGATGATTGAACTACCTGCACAACATCTAAACTCTAAAGACTTGATAACATGTCAAATTCAAAAGTCACTATAGCTAAGCAGTGTCTTCGAGAGCACGAAGACTTGTTATATACAAGATTAACTTCCCCATCCTTTCGGATGATGATGACTAAGCAGATGCTATCTAGCTTGGTACTCGGAATCTTCATAGATATTGAACAAAAACTGAGGCAGTGATGCTATCCTTGGCAGATTCATCAACAACTCCCCTACGGAGTCTTTTCTCGACATTGACGGAGTTGGATCATTTGATTTATCCTCTGTTGTAGAAGGATCTTCAACCTTTTTTACACTTGCTGCTACGGGGAAGAAACTCAATTCATCAGTTCTATTTCCTTCATCAGCAACATAACCTGAATTCTCACTCTTATGAGCTGTTGCAGGATCCTTCTGAATAAGACAGCACAGAGAATTCACCCTTGACATGAGGGATTTCTCATCTGACTCTGGCATATTCTGAGTGTCACTAAACAAGCACCTCGAGATATCTTCCAGAATCTGCAAGCTTTGCCATTCATCACTTGACAGGTTGATGACTTCAGATGTACCCTGCTCGGAGAAACGTTGTTCAAAGTGGCTCACTAAATCTTTCATTGACATGGAAGGATGAAGACCAGGCACTTTGAGCTGCTCCAGGTTACTGAGACCTTTCAATTTCTCCATATCTCTACTCATCACATCTTGAGTTGCCCTTGTATCCATCACTGCAGGTTACATGACAGTAAAACTAATTAAAACAGATTCAAGACCAGCAAACCTCCATAATGGTTGCTTGTGTGGGTAACTAGCATTAGTTCAGGATCAGTTAGATGCATCTTAGAGCATCAACATAATTTGTAAGTGTCAATGGTCCTTAGATGCTAAGTTGAAGTAACTAACGAGAACTGTAGCGACAGAAAAAGAATGTAATATATTAAATAAAACCAGGACCCGAACAACAAAACTTTAAGAAAAACAAATAAGAAGTATGGCGTCCTCAAAGATGAATCAAACAGAAAAATCCAACTTGTTACAAGGCTCGGGTTCCTACCCAAACGAATATTATTAATATATATTATTACCTGAGATTGGCGAACGTCTCTCTGGAGGAACACCTTCCAATGGTCTTCTAACAACATCTTGCTCAGCCTTTGAGGTAGAACAATAGGCTCCTGAAGGTGAGGCAGAACCTTGCAAGTTGAGAAAGGGGGTATTTTTCTCATTATTCAGATTAAATTCTGAATCAGCTACATTTGGGTCTTCAAATACTGAAATTCTGGATTCGAAATATGGAGAATCTAGCGTAATCTCTGGTTGTTGACTTAGGAAGTTAAGACGAGGATCACACTGAATGAGCTTTTCAAAATGCTTTCCCATCAACCCCGGTGGACACTGTAAGTAATGTTGCCTAAAAAGGAAAACATAAAAATGGGGTTTAACATCAAAACTGAACCACGTTAACGATAATGGTCAAGGAAATGCTACAAAATTGCGAACATAAATAGGTGTAATGCCTCACTAAGCAGGCTTATAACAGCAGTGCCATTAAATCAAGTCCATGCAAAGACTTAAAACTTATAAATCCTCTGGACTACTGCTGCTGCAAAAAATGGGGGTTCGGTGGCTGCACTAGGCTGCTATTTAACTTCATAGAGTAAATAGAGGTAGAATAATCCTAGTGAAAAGTTTCCGACATCCAAAGGAAAAAAAGGCATAAAGAGGCCCAACATAATCCGCAAAGTTTCTCAAACTCCAGATGTCAACATGAAATCAGTAATGACTCACTTTAGGACTTAAAGTACACAGTTTCCGAGGAGGTCGCAATTAAGTTTCAGTTATTATCTTGGTACTTTCTTACTCCTAGCAACCGGCTAAAATAAGCAACCGAAGAGTACTTGGTGCCCAGGGAAAAAAAGGAATATTAGTTAAAACAACAACTATAAGTTCTGGTTCATACAGAAAGCAAGATAAATCGCTAATGACTAAAAACAAGATCAGAAACATACTTGTGTATGCTAGCCTGTCCTCCAGTAAAATCAGACGTTGCTTGCCACAGAGTATGCTTCCTGGGTTGTGGATTTGTTTCCCTGAAGAAAAGAGGTTGTCTTGCTAGCTGCAACACAAGAATCCCTTAGTCCTTTCATCACCTTAAGGACAATGAAAAGAGTTGCAAAAATACATTTGGCAATTCTTATATAGCATATAGTTTAACAATAACAGCAGCAAAAGAGACGACCCATTAGCACTTACCACTACGTCTAGAGTTCCAGGTCCATCATCTGCGTAATTTGCCTTCAGACCCATAATATCGGACCACTGGATTTCTATCTTATTCTTGAGACCGCCGTCAAGGACTTCCCAGACAAGTTTATGCTTCGCAAAGTAACATTTTGCTACTAAATCCCCTTCATATCTTGACTTATACTGCACACATAACAGAATTCCAATCACTACTAGTACTTCTAAACTGCAATTTGTAAATTACATATTATTCTCGAAACTAAAATACCTCCCAGCTCCCAATTCTCAGGACTGAGGCAGGAAAGTTTGAAGCCTTTAGTTTTTCAGTAGTTACAGAGTTTCCTTTCTGCTCCTTCTTCCCATGGTTTCCCACCTTGGGGTTGCTTCCCTGGGAAAGCTTCATCTGGATCAAATCCAACAGCGATGGGCTCTTCCGCAGCCTCAAACCTAATGGACTGGGCTCATCTAGCGGGTTGTACTGCGATGGTGGTACTGGGAAAGCGTCAGCTCCTACACTCAACTGCTGCTATAGCAAAAAGATCCGGATTCAGGTAAGCTAATCATACAATAAGCGTCACAGGAATCACCTTAAAGCAGTATAAAAAGGCATAGCCAGTAATAATACATCAGTAAGCATGAATCTACTACTTATACCCAATTAGACCAATGGTAAAACATGAATCTACTACTTATACCCAATTAGACCAATGGTAAAACTTACACACACCCGATATTTACACCAACCCATTGATTATATGTCATATATATTCACAAACACTCTTATCACTACACCATAGTTAATTAATACATGTTTTCACCTTAATTTATATTTAACCATGATAAATTAGTATGATTTGGTGTAAACACGGGATAAGTTTTTACTGTCATTCTGCTACACCTTTTTGTATTTACAAACTCTTTAATCTTGACATCCTATTTGTCATTAATTTCCCTTAATTGACTTACCCAAGGAATAATGACATGGCATGTTGAATAAGGCTAATGCTAAAGCCAATTTGATATATTGTTTATACTATTAAGCTTATATCTGGAAAATCCTTTTTTAAAGCTCGTGTCCGCGCAACAGCGGAAGGAGTAAACTCTATCTGTTATTGTTCTAAAAAGCAAGCAAAGCACAAACACTAAAAACAGTAGAAAATTGAAACAACAAACAGGCACAGAAGAGGGAAAAAAACATCTCCGGGAAACAAAATAGCAAAAAGCGTGAGTACATGTTTGTAAATATGCAAATACAAGTAATACAGAAACTCAGTATGTGGAATAGAACAAACAGGGAGATAAGGAAAAAGAAAACAAACTTGGAGAGAAGAGGAAAGCTTTGATCGCTTGTTGAGTGGGCCGTGTGCTTCATCCAAATCATCCTCTATTTCCAGCTTCACCACCGCCGTTTTCCCCTTCCGCCACTGCAACTCCGGCAACACTTCAACAGTATTCATCAATTGAACCATAGTTGAAAAAACGAAGAATTAATCAAACAAAAACCAATATATCAAAGCCGTACGAGTCGGACCAGAAGAAGAGAAATCAAATTTCGTCTTTACTGCTAGCTACCTTAATTATAGAGTCCCAATATATATTATTTTTATATGGCCTATATTTTTTATAACACGTGTCAATTTCACGCGCTTGTACTCCACTCCACCTCGAATGTGCTGGAGGCACGTGAGAGTTTTTGGATAAAATGCTGACTCGGCGCAAACTGGGGAAGGTTCGAGTTTCGGCTAGTGGGAACGGCTGCGATGGGGCAAAGTGACACGTGGAAGAATCTAACGGTGGATGACACGTAAGAGGCTGAATTGGATGTGTTAGATGGGCTGCGTTGTGGATAATGTTTTGGATTCATTGCTTTTTAATTTGGGATTTTATATATTTTTTCTTGTCGGTATTCGGATGACGGAATAAACACGCGTGCACCTACTTCCTACCTCTTTCCTTTCATAATTACGGCGGCTTTATAACTCACGCGCTGTATTTATAAGACCAATCATTAATGATTTTACACCTCAATCTCTTTGACTGTTTAATTCTTTTTGGAAGAAATTAATTAGTATACCATATATATTAGGGAAATTATCAGCTATGTCCATTTATAAGTAGTTCATTACAAAAATTGGCCAATTGATAAAATATTACTAATATTAGCCAATTAGCTATTTGTAGTAAAAAAATATCAAATTTTTGCTTTGTTTTGAGTGGGTGTTATTAGAATAGATTGAGCACAACTTAAAGAGCTTGAATCTCAGTTTTGGGATGATTCGGTGAAGTTTTGAGGTGGTTTTAATTGAAAATTCGAAATAAAAGCTGAACATGAAAAAAAATGATATGTGTATCACACTATGTATCATTTGTGTATCATATTTGTATCAATTGTGTATCACATGTATATCCATGTATACATGTGTGTGAGATACATGCGTGATACATGTTTGATACATGTGTCGCAGAAGATTTTTTTGAACTCGATTTAATTACGAATTTCGATGCAAAACCAGTCCAAATCACCTCCAATCTTCCTCAAATTTTGTATATTGACTTATCTATATATTTTCAATGAATTTCAACTATACCCATTGAAAAAGTTTCTTTTTTGTTTAGATTTTTGGAATATTGTATAGATTTTTGTATTTCATCACCTTATTTGCTACCCCGTCCATGAAATTTTCTTTCCGTCTTGTATCTAATGTTTCTAATCACGCTTAAAAATATGGAAGGTGATTTTTGCATGTGATTCTTTGAGAGAAAGAATCCTATTATTTGGTTTTTCAATTTTCGTTGGCTAGTTTTGGTAAGTCTATGACTAATGGCTAGAGGTTGGTAAGTTGAGATTTATTTGGGACATTTATGTAAGTTTCCCCATATATTACTCCTCACAATGTAAATTTCTTTTTAGAAGAATTAACTAGAAGAATTAACTCTATTCTAAACTCTTTTTAGAATCCTTTCCATATCTTAATTGGATAAGCTCAAAACTTAAGTTTGAACCCCTCTTCATAATTTCCTTCTCCACTATTCACAGACCACCTTCACTCAAAGGAATTTTAAAAGAAAATTAATATGGAATAAATGGCTCGTACATTTACATGAAGCTCCTCACTAAGCTTTTTTACTATAAAGAAATAAAGAAACATATTATAATATGAAAGCACATATCACATAGTCTGAGTAGTTAAGATTTAACAAGGCAGAAAACATAGTAATGATGCATAACAATTGCTTGTTGAGTTGTCCTAGTAAACCAAATTGGTCTAGTGGCCCTTAACCAAGTTGGGTAGAAAGAGATATTTCCAATATATATAACATTTGAAGTGAGAGTCCATACAATATCGAAGTAGTGTCAAAACATTATTCAACTAATTGTTAACATAAGAGGTTAGTTTTCATTTTTATTATAAAAAGAACTATCTTACGTACGACTTACGAATAATATGTTCTGTATTAATTTAACTATGTAAATTAAGTATGTATGTAATTTTTAATACTACTAGTCCTAAAATAAGCGCGTTGCGCGTGTACTCCGAGTCATGAGTACCTTTTGAAAATCACATAATCATTATCATATATATTATAAATTAAAAATATAATTTCAAATAATAGTGTAAGTTCCTAAAAACAATGAATGTTGATTCTATTTGGCTAATTCTATAAAGAGCTCCTCAAATGTATTATCGTAATTTTTAGAAAGAATTACAAGAAAATACATATGACTTCACACCATAACAAAAAAATGGCCCATGTTTTTAAGTTTTACCCGACCTAGCCCATATTGTACATATTTTGAAAGCACTAGCAAATTCAAAATATGTGTTCTTACAACCATTGCTTCTAAAAGCTATGGAGTTAAGTCTGTGTTCTCGCACATTGCTTTCACTCTCTTTCCTTCTCACATCTTCTACATATGCTTCAAGGGGCCGTGTATTTTCTGCTTCTCCTCTTGCGTCACCTGCTTGCAATCTAAGAAAATTGAAGAGTAGAAGTCCACCATTAAAGTCAATTCAAAGCTTTGCTTTCAAAAATGAGTTTTTTTGAATTTTTTAGTTGTTTGGATTGGGTGTTGTTCCAATTGATTGAAAATATCAAAAGGAGTTCAAAATTTAAATTTGAAGTGATTTGGAGTATATTTGAGCAAGATTTGAGTTAAATTTCAGAAAAGACGCAAGGAAGAAGACGAAGTCAGTTTTCTGTATAATTATATATAATCTTGTATAATAGTGTATATGAGTGTAGAAACACACCTTATACACTTTTATACACCTTTATACAAGCGTCTGTAGACGAACTTCTTCCACGAATTTCAGTCGCAATTCTTGTTCGAATCCATTCCAAATCTCCAATAAATGACTTCAAATTTTATATACAACCTCCTTATACTATTTCTAACAAGTCTAAATAACACCCACTCCAAATTTCTCACAAAATTAAATTCGGAATTTAAACCCACATATTTAAGCTTGTTAAAAATATAATTTTCACCACCCAAATGAATTTGGTTTGTTGAACTAATAGTTGAGTCACAGTTACTGATTCGAAAATTAATTTAAAAGCTTCAGGAATCTTTTTTAAAAATTAAATAGTAATTTTGAGAACCTATTGGAGTTGGATGTTGAATCTTAGCCTATTATTTTTGGGCTAGTTGGTTGTAAATTAAAATAGAGATTTTTACATTCCCATGCCACATAGGAAATCTTATTACCCTCAATGTTTAAGGTTTGACTTAATTACACTTAGTATACCAAATTATCAATTCTATACCATAATTAATTAAGGGTATAATTAATTGTATATTTTTTACTCCTTAATTAAAGGAATCTGCACGTTTCTCTCTCCTAACCCCTCAGTCCCACCCACGGTTTACCCATACCCACGTTCTTTTTACCATTTTCCATCTTCTGAAACCAAATTCTCCCTCTAAATTCACAGAAAATTGAAGAAACCCTTCAACAAAGTTGGTTCCCCATTTTACTCCAGTTGAAGTTCATCAATGAAGAATAACAAAGTTCATCAAAATTGAAGTCAAATCTTCAAAGTCTATACACACATTTACCTTCAGCTTCAAATTTTCTCAATGAAGAAGAACAAACCTTCAAAGAGACAAGAGAGCAGCAATTCCACCATTGACAGCCATTAAAAAGCTTTGAAGCTTTGAATTCAAATTTGGGTTTTCAAAAATTATTATTTATTTTGATTGGGTGTTGTTGAAAATAATTGGGAATATGTTTTGGAGTTTATATCTCAATTTTGAGGGGTTTTGGTGAAGATTAGACTTGGTTTTGACTGAAATTCAGATTGAAACTCGAAGAAGAAGAAGAAGAAGAAGAAGAAGAAGAAGAAGAAGACATATTGCAGAAATTGTAGATAAATTATAGAAAAATTGTAGATAAATTGTAGACTGTTTTTTGCAGAAGATTTTGTTGAAGTTTTAGTCGTTTTGGATTTGTAAAAACAGAAAATAATGCATCTACAATCAGAATACAAATAATCTACAATTTATCTATAAAATATCTACAAACTGGATACATTGAATTTTAATATCCCAATTCCCATTTCAATTGTAGCATAATTGGCATTTCGACATAATTGCGTTTTTTGCAGAAGATTTGTATAAGTTTTAGTCGTTTTTGATTTGTGAAAACAGAAAGCACCTACAATTAGAATACAAATAATCTACAATTTATCTACAAAATATCTACAAACTGGGTACATTGAATTTTCATATCCCAATTCCCATCCAATTGTAGCATAATTGTGATTTTTGACATAATTACGTTTGTAGACAATAAATTTGCGTCAAGAAAATAAAATCAAGACCGAAAATATCGCAACAATCGTAGTATTTTATTTCGAAAATTTGAGTGTTACAATCTCTATGAATCCTCTGATTCTTCTTTCCAATAGTAAATAAATTCAAGGGCCTTTGAGCTTGATCTTGAATCTATATTTATTTCCACGAACGATGATCTTGTCCTTGAGCTTGAGCTTGATTGCTTGAACTTGACCTATATTCGTTCTTCGTTCTTGAGCTTGAACTTGATTTCTTGAGATTGAACTTGAAGCTTGAAACTTGTAGAGGAATTTGCAGCGTTTCATCCACGAGCTCTTTCTTGCTTCTTGTTATAACTTCTGGTGTCTTTTCTGAGTTATGAAGACCCCTATTTATAGTTGTGGAAGGGAGGAGTCATGATAAGAACAAACTCTTTCCGACCAATCAAATTGAAGTGTGACATGGCCGCATTTGATTGGCCAGAACATGTCACTTGCACACGTGGCACGATTTCATTGGCCTTTCAGTGTGACTGGGCATGCCTTGTCATTTTGACACGTGGCATGATCCTATTGGCTCTTCCGTTTGACTTGGCGTGCCACATCATTTGACACGTGGCACCAAACTGGACCTCTAGGAAGATGTCATCATGGGCTTAATGAAGTGGGCTCATCACTTTAGCCCAATTAAATGGGCTAACCCAATGGATTAAGACTTGTTTATTTAATCCATATATGTTGGACTTATATAATTAAGTCAATTATATTAGCCCATAATATTTATTCGGATCAATGTATCTTGAACTTTA